CTGTGAATGTGAAAGGTTGAACACTGTGTACATTGTGCATTTCAGACATTATATATGTATATAATTAACATTTATTGTAAGAGCAGTTTCCGAAAAAGTATTGATGCCCTCTGAGGATGATCCGTAGGGATCGAAACATGTAAGGGTGATGAGTCTTCAAATGATAAAACTTAAATAGTCACATTAGACGGTGTTATTTTGTTTTTGTAATACACGTATGTTTTGTTGTGCTCTGGTCAGCTGACTTTGGCTAACAAATTGAGATAAATAGCTTCACCTGACATAGCAAATGAAATCACGGAAAACTAACAACAAAAATTACAAACAATATATGACACATTTTAAAATACTTCTTTGTGAAGTTGGCAATACTTATTTCGGACCTGTGTTTCATAGGCCTGGAGACGTAATGAGTGTACTACATACTACAAGGGGTAGAGTGGTTGCGCATTCAAGATGCCTCGCTAGGAGCATCAGCTAAGTGTGCTCCACTGTGTCAGGCATTGTGTTCGTGACATGTTACTTCGGCAAGCATCACGACTAATTCGATGCACACATCAGCTGAAACGAGCTCACACCTGAACAAGGAGGGATGGAAGCAGGAGTCCTGTGTGACTACATGTGACTGCGTGTTCTGGCACCTGCAGTTGTAGGCACACTACCCTGTCACTCATCGCCAACTTTTAATTTCACAGGGTACAACAGACGTTACTCCTCTTTGGTGATCCTGTCAGTCACATTAAACATGCCATAGAAGGCTCATTAGACAAGCTAAAATAAAAACCAACTATAGCAGTGCAAATGATGGAACAGTTGTCCTCCTCAGTGTTGCCAACATCGGTATTCAAATAAATTAACTGCTTTTACTCCTTGATATTCCATCTGACTTGACCATTTCACTATTAGGAAAGCATAATTAGAAAATCATTGACTGTCTGTTAGTTTTTTCGTCAGAATACATAATATCTAAAACTATCATAATTTATTAAGGCGGCGCCATAGCTCAAGCGGTTAGTCGCTTGCTGCCTGCCGCGGCGGCCCGGGTTCGATCCCGGGTCTGGTCAAGTGGGATTTGTGGCGGACAAAGTGGTGCTGGAGCAGGTTTTCTCCCAGTACTTCGGTTTCCCCTGCCAATCTTCATTCCACCAATTCCTCCACAATCACCCTCACCTATCATCTAGGGCCGGTACAATAGGCCAGAAGTGGCTGCACTACAAGGGATTTAGTCCCACCCCACTAGCAATAAAGAAAACAAAAAAAAAACATAATTTATTAAATTTAGTACCAGAAGGGTCCATACTAAATACCAGTCGAGGTTAGTCGCTGTCTTCCCACCGCGGTGGCCCGGGTTCGATCCCGGGTATGATCAAGTGGGATTTGTGGTGGACAAAGTGGCGCTGGGGCAGGTTTCCTCCGAGAACTTCAGTTTCCCTTGCCAATCTTCATTCCACAAAATTCTCCATCATCATAATCACCCGGGGCAGGCTACAATAGGCCAATCAGTGGGCACCGTGCCGAGTGGACCCAGTTGGACTCCACCCCTCACTAAGCGCATTTAAAGAAAATGCCAGTTGAAGTTCATTTACACTTGTGTCACACCAATGTAACCGTTACTTTGCATTAAAGTTATCAAACTTGAGATTTCTGAATAAAAGATAACACATACAAAACATGGCATAAATGTAGATTAAGAACAAGAACATTTATTTTAAAGTTGATTATTTAAAAAGAAATAAATTGAAAGACTCAGTTCTTGCGTTATTGTGTGAGTAAAAATATTTTTGTTCCAAAGCAACGAATATCAAGCCAAACAACGACTGTGAGACCACACAGAGCACACATATAAACTGTCTATAATTTAAACGTGATTACAACACTGCGCTACTTTTATTATTTGCCAAGAATTTCCAATTACACATCATGAAATTTGTTCAAAGCTGAAAATATCGAAAGTGGAATATGAAGAGATTTTTCATTAAAAGTTTGCATTATATCCAGTCATTTAACAGCAGGCATTCTGTTGTTGCTTTTTGCCTGATTAATCGTCACTAATTTAACTCATCAACTACGTAGAAGCAATTACATTTTCATTTTCTAGCCCTAGTAAACAGAGAAAACTAATTATATATTGCTGTCTCGTCACCAGAATGCAGGGCAAAATCATGATATAGAGATAGGTAACAGATATTTTGAAAATGTGGCACAGTTCAGATATTTGGGAACGACTATAACAAATCGAAACCTGATTCATGAGGAAATTCAGAGGAGATTGAACTCGGGTAATGCTTGCTACCGTTCGGTCCAGAGGCTTTTGTCTTCTCGTCTGCTGTCTACAAACACAGAATTGGAATATACAAAGCTATTATTTTACCTGTGGTTCTGTATGGGTGTGAAACTTGGTCTCTGACATTAAAGGAGGAACATAGGCTGAGGTGTTTGAGAACAGGGTGTTGAGGAGAACATTTGGACCGAAGGGGAATGAAGTGACAGGAGATTGGAGAAAATTACATAATGAGGAGCTTCATAACTTGTACTCTTCTCAAAGTATAATTAGAATGATGAAGCCAAGGATGATAAGATGGCCAGGGAATGCAGCAGGAATGCATGTAGGATATTGATGGGAAAGTCAGAAGGAAAGAGACCACTGGGAAGACAAAGGAGTAGGTGGGTAGACAATATTAAAATGAATCTTACAGAGATAGGACGGAGTGGTATGGGCTGGATCAATCTGGCTCAGGATAGGGACCAGGGCAGGGCTTTGGGAACACGGTAATGAACCCTCGGATTCCATAAAATGCTAGGAAGCTCTTGAGTAGCTGCAGAATTTGCGGTTTCTCAAGAGGGTCTCAGCTCCGTGAGTGAGTGAGTGAGTGAGCTTTAAAGCAACCTGCTCGAAATAAATCTCGCTTCATACATCAGACATGTAAAAAAGAGCAGTAAGAACAGTGAAGATTCGCCACACAGTATTGTCCGATCAGTATTTCGAATAGATGAAAAGTATGGAGTGAAAACATGTAGAAATGTAAAGAAAGCAGTCTTCTAGGGTGTGGCGCCGTGTAGATATTGTGTTAACCGACGTTTCGGAGGAAAGTATCGTTTCCATCTTCAGGGAAGAAGAAAAAATAAGAACATCCGCGAGCAGGAACCAGCGTGAGCAGGTTCACGTCTTTTTAGCACCTGCTCACGGTGGTTCCTGCTCGCGGATATTCTTTTTTTCTTCTACCCTGAAGATGGAGACGATACTTTCCTCCGAAACGTCGGTTAACACGATATCCACACGGCGCCACACCCCAGAACAATACTTTCTTCATAGTCACCGACGTGAAAACCTAAAATCTTACATGTTATAATGTCCTGAAAACCGTTCGCAAAATTAATATTAGTTTTAAGCCACAACAGAAGTAAGATACAGAAGTATTAAAATATTGACAATAAATAATTTCGAATGTGTTCCAATGTGTGAATCCATGTCCACCAAATCAATTACAAATGTCATTGAACGAATGAAGTTAAACTTCCACGTACAAACACTAAGTCTCTTTTGCTTCGTTAAGATAAATACATTTGGAATACTATTACAGATATAACCGAATAGTTCTGGCACATTTTCCGTATACTTTCTATAAACTACTTTCATTTCACTTCTCTAACTTTGCTTCGTCTGGGCACTTCCATGCTAATAACCAGCACTTTAACCAAAATCGTTTTCGCCAGTAGTTCATGCCCAATTTGACCTGGAAGTCCAGCAGATATGCTACATTTGTCAAGCTTGCTGGTAAAGGTAAAATATTCGCTAGTATGCCTACCGGCTGACAAAATCATTGTGAATAATAAACAACTTCTGCCATTCATCCCAAATAATGGGGTAAAATTTTCATTTCATGCATCCTGTTGTGTTACAATATGCAACTTCTCTATTAACCGTCACAACACAACAAATATCAAGGTCGGGGCACTGAGCTTGATATTTCTTGTGTTGTGACGGTTAATAAAGAAGTTGTATAATGGGGTAAAATATAAATAAAAACCACTCCGTCCAATGTGACATATAAGTTTTTACTGCGTTAAAACTTATCTCCCTTACATGATTTTAAATCAAAACACCTATTGTGATGGGAGTTTCCAGTTTGTAACGAAGTTCCCTCTGAAGATGGCCCGTAAGGACCGAAACATGTAAGTTTTAACGTAGTAAAAACTTATATGTCACATTGGACGGAGTGGTTTGTATTTATAATTGTTAGTGTGACGGACCAGAATGAAACAAATCAAAAGGGGTAAAAGTTTATATCCGTCCAGAATCGTCTGCTGAGTCCTATACAAAAATGTGACTGCTTGTAGCATGCAAAATCTACATGAGTGATGTAATAAATAGTAAGATTCTAGTTTATGGAGAGACTATGGGATGAGGTCCTCCCCCTGTCAATATTTAACGTTCATTTTTACAAACACAACTTATAACCTAATATTACACTGTGAGGGCCGCGCCATAGCACAAGCGGTTAGTCGCTGGCTTCCTACGGCGGCGGCCCGGTTTCGATCCCGGGTATGGTCAAGTGGGATTTGTGGTGGACAAAGTGGTACTTCGGTTTCCCCTGCCAATCTTCATTCCACCAATTGCTCCATAATGACCCTCACCTATCATCTGGGGCTGGTACAATACGCTAGAAGTGGCCGCAGTGCAAGGGACTTAGTCCCACCCCACTAGCAATAAAACAATATTATACTGTAGAATCCTGCTTCACATTACGTAGTACAGACTGTGGAACTGGTAATATTTGATTATAACCTATGTTTGGGCTATTTAACGAAACAAAGAACCAAACAAAGAAGGGGTGGACATTTGCCATTGCGCCCTGCGCACCTCGGTATGACGAAATTTAACCTAACGCAATGTCGCCATTATCACGTGTGTCCCATTTTACAGTCACGCACAAAACTCTTTTCAGCATTATAATCCATTTAGTTAAAGAATAACATTAATAAATGGTATTTGTACTTACCTATTATAGAGACAGTTGCATCTTCTTCCTTTGTACATCCTGCCCGCAACAAAACACGTCGCACTCACAACCACACATCAACATTACTGCTTCACGTGCATGGACTCGCACACCTATCCCCACTCCATGTGCCTGTCCATCACAGTGACGTGTTACATACAACTCGAATCACTGGCTCCCTTCACTCGTGTCTTGTAATAAGAACTAGCCGAGTGCCACTACCTCCCGGTCCTCACCTCGCCAATAATCATGATCAGGGGTATCACAAACGGGCCACAAATAATAAGGTTGTCTTTGTCGTCATCTGTCACATACACTGCTGCAACTACAGAATGTGCTGGGATTGTGGGTGGTCTCGGAAAATATCCTAATCTGAGTTGCTGCTTTCTTACGAGGATTTTAGAGAAACAACCGAAAGACCCGATCAGGGGCATTTAACCCGGGCATATCAAATGAAATTTGAGTTATGGAACTAGAGTATTCTTCTTGACGGTCATTTTCTTAAACGCTAGATAAATAAGAGCTGTAGATCTCATCTGTTTTCAGAATTTTAGTTGCCGATTAATTATTCTTTTCAGAAATAATTTTGCGGTTTAATGGCGTAAATATAGAAGAGACAATATTTCATGCCATGTTTTTTTTTTCCTTTGGCGCTACAGCCCCAATTTGGGCCTTGGCCTACCTCCATGAAACTCTCCGTTCACTTCGATTTACTAGATCTTAGACATTCGGTAGGACTCCTTGGGCGGGTGATCAGCTCGTCGCAAGGCCTCTTTTCTTTTTCCTGTGGCGCTACAGCCCCAATTTGGGCCTAGGCCTACCTCCATGAAACTCTCCGTTTCACTTCGGTTTACTAGATCTTACACATTCGGTAGGACTCCTTGGGCGAGTGATCAGCTCGCCGCAAGGCGTCTGCCTCTAGATAAACACAGAAAAACGCACACAAACATCCATGCCCTGAGTGGGATTCGAACCCACGATCTCGGCTTCCGAGCGAGCGAAGACAGTACATGCCTTAGACCGCTCGGCTACCGTGACCGGCTAGTTTTATTACTTACAAGTGAAAAATGTTAGGGTGCAACGCCTATTTCACATTGTTACATTTCTCCTCTCTTCCGTAGATTTGACTCTTGTCATATTTCAACACATTATGTGGTACTGTATCTCGGAATAAAATAGCTAATAAATTACATCTAAATATATTCTTTTTTTGATAGGTAAGATTTACAAATATATGTATCAATATTTTTAATATTATTCTCTTCATTAAATATGTAACATATATTTCACCTTGAAACATATTCGTAAAACAAGTTACTCATAATAAAGTTTATGAAGATGATGAATATCATCATCAGCATCGTCATCATTGTTCTGAATTTACTTACGTGCTGAGCACAACGGGAGAGGGTCAGTTACAGGCACATACAAAACAGCGATAAAAAATAGACACAAAGACAAAACAAATAAATATGAAGAAACAACTTCTATTTAAGTTCTTTAAATTGGAAAATAAATTTCTAGAAGTATCTATAAGTTTGTAAATTTCATTAGAAGCAGAAACATCTCTAACTGAAGTACACTGATTGGAGAAGCAACTTAATACAGAAAGGCCGCGCCATAGCTCAAGCGGTTAGTCGCTGGCTTCCCACCGCGGCGGACCAGGTTCGAACCCGGGTCTGGTCAAGTGTGATTTGTGGTGGACAAAGTGGCGCTGAGGCGAGTTTTCTCCGAGTACTTCGGTTTCCCATGCTAATCATCATTCCATCTAATTCTCCATCATCATAATCACCCGGGGCAGGTACACAATCAGTGGCCGCCGTGCCGAGTGAAACCAGTTGGACTCCCCCCCCACTATGCGAATTTAATTTTTTTTAATTTTAGATATGGCCCGCGGATAGTCGAACAAAAATAGTACGTACCTCAACTCAGTCCCCTCGTGTATGGTTTCTTTGAAACTCAATCGATCTCAAACTGCAGGTTTTGGCCTTTCGTAAGTTGTAACCTTATATAATGAAAACAGTTGCAGTACAGTCAGTATCAATACATGTTAATTCTATAAATATCACACGTTTCAGTTCAACAATGTACTTAATTGTCTGTTGTCTAGTTCCCTTTACATCCTTTATTTCCTCTGCTAAGACCTAGATATTTACTTTAATTAGCTTTTTTCACAATTATTAATATTCTCAATATAATTATATAATATATTTCATCTTCCATTCATTTTTAAATTATTATTAATTAATACTTTGAATATAACTATCTACATTGTCCATTATATTCATGACAAGAAATTTAACTTCTTAAAATTATATTTCATTCGTGGTCGCAGTGCAAGGGCCCGTCTAGGTGTCTCATTTCTGCAGTCATTCAATAAAATTCTTAACTGTTGAGTTATGCCATTCAGATAAACAATAAATTATAATTACTTTTACATAAACTTAAATCTACTTGCACTGTAATTTCATTAGAGAATTAATGTCAATAAACATTTAAACACCCAACTTCAAATACCAAACCTATATTAATTATCTGTCTCAATTATCTCAAAATATCCACTTTCCATTTACACAGTTGCCATATTTTCATATCGAGAGACTCATGTAAACACTTATAACAGAGCTAATTGCAGAGATTCTACAAACGTTTCACATTCTACTTCCTGTAATTCGTTGAGAGTTTACCAATATTCGGAGGAACATGTCGCTTCTGTATTGAGGGTTGCAGAGTAAGTCAAGCAAAAACCTGCATAAAACAGGCAGCAAGCAATACCTCGCTATATTTGCTTGTTGCCACTACAACGGCTTACACGGCCTCAGACATCTTCATAAACATAGCTATGAGAGCCTCAAATGCAGTTCTTCATATCAACAATAACAAACGAATTTGATATATGTTCAGTAGAATAAAACTAATGTAATCATAAATTACTGATAAATTTAGTAAGTTATTAACATAATTAGGTACTCGTTAATTGAATAATCACTAATATAACCTTCAAGGAATATGTTATTATTATATTTTATTTATCTATCTGAAACTCCGCACATTCTTAAGAACAATCATATAATAATATTAAATATTAAAACTTTGTCGAAAAGCAGCTCATATTAACACGCGAATTAGAATTCGTATACATATAACTTTGTATTTATATAGTAGCAAACACAACTGTAACATTCTTAAATAATATTCATTCAGTAGGCAGACCCTGTAACAATTTTAATCTGCGAAAAGAAAATTATTCTGTTATAAAATTTGTAACTTAGATATTAATTCTAGGCCTATATTTAAATGTCCCATATTTGCGTCTCTGCTCTTATGAGTTACAGTATTGTAGATCAAAGCTTAAATGGATACTATATTCTACATTGAACTTACAGTTAGGCCCGTGTATAGAGGACACGTAACAAACAACAAACCCTATATTAATCAGTATCCGTGCCACCATGCTTGAAATTTGCATTCCGATTCTAATAATAACTCTCAGATAGTCAACATGGAATTAGAGCAGTACTGAAACTCATTATATGTAATTGTTCTTGGTAAGTTCAATCGTTTAGGGACTCAAACAGCGATCCTTTGTGAACGGAACGAAGGAGAACAGGCATCTCGCTCTCATTTATATTCCACATTCCCAAAGAGTCATGTATAGCACTTCATCAAACAGTAAAAATACAATTATTCATGTAATTCGTTCATTAATCACCGCATCATGAATTTTATAAGGGTGTGTGGGTACAGATTCACATTCCTAATTTCGACACTGCCCACAGTATCCTCTGTTTAGGATAGGACCTAGATGCTTAGGACCCAGAGCTGGTCTGAATGCTAAGGAGAAGAGTAAACCTCTTCTGCCATCAATCAAACCCCATTTTCTCGGTATTTGAGCCCCATTGTCTAGTCGCCATACCGACTGAGCCATCGAAGCGTACCAAGATTAATTTCGCTCTTAAAATAACCAACCGCAAAGCTCAACAACCGGTCTCAGTGGGAATATTCTTGACGCTCAGTCATCCATTCGTTCATCTTTGGCTTTACGGCCCTTTGTTTGACCTTGGCCTCTTTTCAGGTCCTTAAGGGGCCCATACACTTACGAGTCTGGCTAGCGAGTCCGGCTCGGGGAGCTTGACTCGGGAGACGGGCTCGCATTAATTTCACCACAAACGCATAAGCTGACTCCCAACTTTGCGACCCACACACAGACGAGTTTGGCTCATTGGAACCCGAGCCGAGTAGGACTCACGAGCCAGACTCGTACGTGTATGGGCCCCTATTACACAGTCGGTAGGACTCCTCGGACCAGGGATCAGCCTGCACACACAGGACAACACGGACATAGAATAAACGCACACGCAGACACATACATGGCTTGAGTGGGATTCGAACCCACGATCCCAGCGTTTGATGGACATTTCATGCCTTAGACAGTGCGGCCACTGTGATTGGCATTTGACAACAGCGTAAAATTCAAATATTAATGCTTATCATATCAACTGATATCAACAACGTATATTTGCTGTAAATGCATCATAATTGTGGGCAATGATGTTGAGGCCTTCTCGTCAGCCCATTTACTCGTATACCGTGCATTTCGAGCTTCATTTGTGCATGAATTTGGAGACAATTCTTAATCAAAATGGGAAAAGAAGGCCAGTGCCCGAGCAGCAGCCAACTGAACATGCTTAATTTTTGTAGTAATACAATCTTCCGGGGTGTAACGCAGCGCACTCCTAGTTGATTAGGTGGATACTAGGGTTGAGGAGGAACCCTGAAACTTGAAGCAACAGATACTATTGAAACATTTCTACCCATCTATTAAAGTGCACAGCATCACAAACCAACAAACTGTGATCCTGAAGTCTTCGAGAAAACCTCAAATTTCAATTACCTTATATTTTCAAAATTGTCTGAACTAATTGCATGACGGTTAGCACATTTTCGTAGTCCCCTGCTTATAAATATTAGCTGGTTATTGGACCTTACGATGCATTCATTATTCTTGTATCAAAGGACACAGTAGTTTATGATATTATTTCTTCTGCGTTAGTGTCTCAGTTACTCTCAGAAAAACTCCGTGATTTTAGTCCGCAAGCGAACTACACCGACCGAGCGACCGCCGCGGATAGAGAGTGTCACGTGGTCAGCGCAACGAAACCCCATGGCCGGTTTTCTAGACCGGAGCCGCTATTTCCTTGAACTAGCTCCTCAGTTATCATCACGAGGCTGAGTGGACCCTGTTCCAGTCCCACTACTTTTCAGAAAAATATCTGATAGAGCCGGGAATCGAACCCGGACCTCGGGATCTGTAGCCGAGAACGCTGACCACTAGACCACAGTTACTCTCAGTTCAGTTTATTAAATAGTTCATGTGAGTTATTCGTAAGTTGATACCATTCGCCTTCCTAACCAGATTCGAATGTCACTCACCATATGGAAGACGATAATTCGTTCAGAACAAATATGTCTATGTTCTGAACAGAGTATATTTCAAATAAATCACTCGGCCATCTCAGTTTTACATGCAATGACTCAAAATTACACATAATTCGTACCTTGTAATTACTTGCAATTGAATTTTTAATAGTCTATTCGTTGCGAACAAAATATTATATATCTAAAAGTTTGTTACGATGTTACATTAATAAAAATATTATGTTTTGGGGCACTATGTATCGGTCTGTCTTTACCTAAAACACAATTCTGTTTATATTTCTAAACAAAACGTTTCGGAGACTGGATTCTGTCTCCGTCTTCCTGTAAAACCTACTCAGTTGGGCCCAATCGATAGAGCTAGTCCTATCGATCTATCGATTGGGCCCATCTGAGTAAATTTTAGCTTAAGACGGAGACAGAATCCAGTGTCCGAAACGCTGTGTTTTGAAAAATAAACATGGCGTTGTTTTAGATAAAGACAGAACGATGGATAGTGCCCAAAATTATAATATTTGTACAATATTTTATCATTTGTATCGCATTATAAATAACAAAGTTATTGAATCTATTGAGAAAACTACTTAAGACCTGACGACATTCTAATGGCGTTTAAGTATATCAATATACAGAGGTTCGCACTATTAAAGTCGTGTTACTACATTACTTCGATATCACTAAGGGTTTGTTCCCAAGTACATTTTTTACCAGCTACAAAACATTTGCCTCATTCTGAGTCACAGAAATTTAAACTGTGTGGAGACAGCGACAGATAATCAAGCTCACAGAAAGAGTAAGGATATTTGCGGTTGTAGTATAATGATTAATGTTATAAACATGCTCAAACATACGTATCCGGATTATCGTTATTATATAAACATTAATTTATATGTAGAAAGCTCAACCACTTTCTTCAAATGTTGCATAATATTCTACTTATCCTTATGGGGACACACAGACGAAAGACTCAGCTTTCGTACAGACCTCAGTTCCAAACAGTAAGCTCAAAACACACAGCAGCACGGTTCGCGCTGTTGCTTTACACTTTGCGTGATGAACCAGCAGCACGCAGGAAGAACATATTTTTTTATTTATTAATTAAAGAGTAACCCAGAACTTAATTACAATTAAAACTAGTTGGATAACTAATGATTAATTTTTTGTGAACCTAATATACTACGTAAATTAAAACTAAGTCACTTCCACTGAATTACTTAGTACTTTAACATTTTACTAGTTCGAACGGTTTCTTCCGTTTGAGTCGTCTAATGATATTGTTCACGTTGAGAAGTCTGGACCCTTCAATGTTGACATGGTTTTGGAGTCTCTTTTTATGAGAGGTGGCGCACTTAGCGATGATGTCTGTAACCGTCTCTATCCCAAGGTCACGATGAAGGTCACTGCTACGAACGTACCATGGTGCGTTGACAACACACTTCAGCACTTTGTTCTGATAGCGCTGAATCATTTGAATACTGCATTCACTGGCGCAGCCCCAGAGCTGGATACCGTAACTCCAAACTGGACGTAGAACTTATTTGTATAATGTAAGTTTACTGTGGATTGGTAGCTCAGAATTGCGTCCAAGCAACCAATACATTTGTTTGAACTTATTGTTGAGCTCATCACGTTTTCTCTTGATATGCTCTTTCCACAGTAACTTGGGGTCTAGAATTATTCCAAGATATTTCGCTGTGTTGGCGTATGGAACTTGAGTGCCATTGATGAAGATTGATTGTTGTGTACTCATGTTGTTTGTAAAGTCAATATGTACTGGTTTGGATTCGTTGAGCTTAATTCGCCATTTTTTTAAGAACATCTTAACTAACTTATTTTCAAATCAAATTTGAGAAACATGCGCTAGATATACATATGGATCTGTTAAGGAAAAAACAGATTTCTGTATCTTAGAAATTAGATATTTCTTGTATCTTTATAACAAATTGGACAAATAATTCTGCTTTATTTTTCTTTGCAAACATTCTTTGTGCGAAGGGTTATATTAACTCCTTGTCCGTACTCATATTTCAGAATAAAACTAGACAAATACCTAACTTTACTTCAGGTTATAATTGCACCATTTCAGAGTGTTGCAATCGAGGGTGTAAAGGGTTACTTTGATATCAGCTATTCTTTCAGATATCCTTACCCTCTGTGGATCAAACATCTTACTCAGGCACTGAAATAGCTGCTCTCCAATAATCACTGTAGTTATGAAGAGACTATTACAAATAGCAAATAAACATATATCTTAGAAATGTTCGTTATCCATAAAAAGAAATCTGTTGTCCTCGCCATAAAAATGCAGGCATAAATATTACAGCCCTGTGGAACTAAAATTTTTACTCCTCATTTGATATTATCTCTCTCAGTACAAAATTTTTGTAATAGCGAGTGAAAGCTCCGAAATTAAACATCGAATTTACCATAACAACGGATATTCCAACATTAACATATTGTAAGAACGTAAGCTATATGGAAGGTCACAGAGGAGTCAGAACCTTTGTTTCTAACAAAGAATGAATTTCTCTGTAATCAGAAAGCTTATAACACATAGGAATTAAACTGGAATATATTACATTATCATAGTAGATATTAGCTGTGAATCGAAACTCCGATGGGAAATATGTCTTCGCAAACGGCCTACATGTATTTTGCTTTGTCTGTCAGGACTTAAAAACTTCTCCACTCATACAGTTCATAACACTTCCTGAGCATAAAATTGCTTTAATAATGCACGTGTATAAATCATTAAAGATGTAAGGGGTTTCCTGACATTTCTTTAATTACATGTATTAATGCAGTGCCTATAATTTGTTTTCGAAAAGTAACGATGTGAAAACCTAAATATTCATGAATCGTGCCGCATTTCATTAAAACAAACCCACAGATCCTAAATATTTGTTTTAAAATTTCCATTTCAAGTTTTTCTTGTTTTTCTCCTAATAAGGAATGGCTTTCTTCGGAAGAAGACAGCTTATAACAAGTAGGATTCACTTGGACTTCGGCATGTTTAATTATTTTTCAATAACAATAAAACAACCTGAGAGCTTTGGTATGGAATTTCTACTATCAATGTAAATATTTTGCATGTCAGGCAATTTTGTAGAAGTATTTAATATCAATGATCTGGATAAAGGTGTGCTTCACAATCTCCCGTCATCACATGCTCGCATTCGAATCACAGGTGTGGTCACTGAAATATATGCAGTTTGTCACAATAATAAGGAATGTTAACCAAAATACTAGAATCAAAGTATTTCAGATCGATGATCCTGATTCTGATAAAATCTTCTCGGGCTATCAGCTTTGTTAGTTATTTAGAAATTACGGACGTTTCAGGAATCATCTCTGCCCCTAACCTCAGACCCTGATTGGAGGCATGGAGGCGGTCCATGAAATGTCTGTAATTTTTAATTAATTGATACAGCTGAGTGCCCAAGAGATTCTATCAATTTTAGCGACCGTGAAAGCATTTCTTTCCCTGATGTTCACATTAGAAATGTAGATTTATACAAGAAGGACTGTTTTAAATGTAGGTTGTTCTGCTATCCTTCAAACCTTGTTTGTTAATGAAGAACAGTTTAAATAATATACTTTAACGGGAAAACCACGTGACAGTTAAAATGCGTGTATAAGTATAATATTGGCTTCTTGATGAAAGCATTTCCCAAAAAGCTGCTTCGATATCGTTCCTCATAGAACCATATGAAAACTGAAAGTCCAGAAACTCTGATTAGTGTCGTGAGGTGGTCACATGTTCAGTCTGTAAAGTTGTGATGTTCTGGTGGAGGCTGAATTATCCGCTCCCTGGGACATACGGCTGGGGCACTTCAAAGTTATTTCTCCGCAGGGGGATGCTAGACAGCAGCTGGTCAATTGGCTTACGTTTGTCGTAGAGTGACGGCGCCTGGAAAATGATGCCACAAGTTCCACCGATGCAAGCGAGTGTGAACACCCAGAGAAAAAAGCGATCCAATACCATGGACACATACTTCCAGTCTTCCACGATCTGCAACAAGGATATGGGTTGTTGTTATTAACTTCCCAGTACTATAGATTTATTAAGGCTTAAAGAATTCCCCTGCCTCTACTAGAGGTAGGTACAATATTGAAAAGGATATTAGATAAAAGTGTTGCGAGGTTATAAGCTGGATTCATCTGGCTCAAGATGGAGAAATTTTACGTACACAGAGAAATTTCGGATGTGGGCTCAGCTCCTTGATGAGCTGAGGAAATGTAAATTTACAAGAAGAAATATTCTCCATAGAGCTACTTGTTACATTTGTCCTATTTCTCTTACATTTTGAATGAGAAAGAAATGCATTTGTTTTTTCCTGCACCTCAGGGTGTAAATCTGTATGAATGAGTAGGCATAGGTGTCAAGTTATAAATGTCTAAAGTGTGATCCCGGAAAAACCCAAATAGAATATATATTAAATTTAAATATTTTCCCAGGTCATAATTAGCGGTGCTGATTATTTGCGATTATTAACAAATAAACAATTAAAAACCCCAGAGTATATTAAATGTGAAATAAAACAACTTCAATTTCTGTAGTGCCGTGCCCTATATTCAGTTTAACGGCCCGTGCTCCACCAGTTAGAGCAGCGTGACAAACTGAAACCCAAAGCTAGAGCAGTCTACTAAACATGTCATCATGAAACCATATGGTAAATATAACATGTAAAGTAAAGTAAAGTAAATTAAAGTAAAGTAAAGCTAGTAACAGGCCATGAAGGCCCATAGGATTGTGAGACGTTGAGGGTCCCACATTATCTAGATTCTAGACAATCGGAACTTAAATTTGAATCTAGAGCAGGCATGCCAACTTCAAACAGGTTGTGATCGACTTTTCAGTGTCAAAACTGCCAGTGATCTACCACTCCCTCTTATCGTCGTACCTCGCTTTAAGAGAAAATATTTGTAAAAAGAACACGACACATGATGTTTGTTGTAAAAGCAACATACATTGAAAGTATAGACTACTTTACCACGTATTTTCCCTTCAAGATCTGAATAAAATCATATTATATTAAAAGCGAATTTACATGCTTTTCACGTATAATTTCCTTATAGGCCTATGAGATCAACCAAAAATCGTCCCGCGATCAACGCGTTGGACATGCCTGATCTAAAGCGTACCAAATTATAGAGATACAGAATACGAATTGCTTTATGCCACTGATGAAGTACAGAAAATTTTACTTACTACAATAGGTGAAAAAATTAGAGCACAAATTTTAAGATTTTCTGGAGGAAATTACTGCCATTTGAGTAGGAAATACTCTTAATAATCTGGTCTATGTTCCTTGGAAGGATTTCTAAGAATTCGGGCGAGCCACATGTTCAGTTACACAAACAATGCGCCAGAGCCATCACACATCAATACTGCAATTGAAGTTGTATCATAAATTTAATATTGCCATGTGTTACAGTGACTATAGACGGGGCTTGGATTGATAATCGAATTTATTTGTCTCGTGAATACAAGCCGATGATTATGGATAATAATAATAATAAATACACCTTAGTGAAAATGAAAGGGTGGTATGGACTGAATTCATATGGCTCAGGATAGGGACCATTTGAAGACTCCTGTCAACACGTTAATTAATCTTTAGATTCCACAACTTTTAGGGAGATTCTTGAGTTGTTTAGTGACTGCTGGCTTCTCAAGAAGTACTCGCTTCCCTAAAGTTTGTTTGTTCGTTCGTTAGTTATTTAGCTGGTTTGTTATACCAGATAGATTAGGATGCTGGGTTAGCAGCAGAGACAGACTAGACGCTGTGGAGGATGGAAAAAAAAAAAACACTTCCAGAAATAGAGCGCCTATCTTCCGGCCGCCAGCCCATAGCATAGTCACTATATTGACTGGGTTACCCCTGTTACATGTTATGTCAATATTCCAATATTTAACAACACTGTTGCCTCTACTGTAACGTCAGCATGAATAAAACTACAGTGCTTTGGCCCCGCCCTGACTGTACTCGCTCTCATGAGTATTTCTAAACTTTTATGCTATTGTTGCCAGTCACAGCGGCGCGGTCTAAGGCATGAAGCGTCTTCGCTCGCTCGAAAGCTGGGATCGTGGGTTCGAATCCCACTCAAGGCATTGATGTCTGTGTTCGTTTATTCTGTTTGTGTTTTTGTGTGTTGCTAGCGGACTTGCGACGGGCTGATCCCCCGTCCAAGGAGTCCTACCGACGGTGTATAGGATCAAGAAAATGAAAAAAACTACGAAGGCCCAACAAAGGGCTGTAGAGCCATCACAATAATAATCTGGTATTGTTAGGGTACACAGATCTAGACGACTAAGTTCGGCTGGATATGTGGTTGGGATAGAGAGACGAGAAATCCGCAAACACGATTGGTGATAACAGTCCTACATCATAGTAAAAGTAAAGCTATCCCTGTAACAGGCCATGAAGGCCCATAGGGTTGTGAAACGTTAAGGGTCCCACACCATCTAGACAATCGGCTCAAAGATGGCGGTAAGGTTGTCAGCCTTACGCGCCGGCCGCGCTTTACTCCCCAGGAAAACTATTTATTTAATTCCTGGTACTCATTTCTGTTAGAGGCTGATTGAACCCCAGGGCCATAGGGCGGGCGGAAGGATAAGGTCAATTGTAAAATATCCAATGACCTCATCGGTACTTGAACCCGCGACCTTCCGGCTTGTAGCATAGTGCCTTAACCACTACGCTACCGCGTGCCCCCGTCCTACATCATAGAAATCTATTTAAACTACCAAAAATAAATTGAAGAACGATATTAAACGTATTTTCGGGAGACAGGTCGTGACGATGGGAAGTGGATGCAGCCGACTCTGGATTGTGTTTGAAGGACTGCTTTTGTATGTGCAGTTTGGAATCTTCAGGTCCTATCAGTAAGTGTTCTGCTATCATAAGAAAACCATTCATGCAATTCAAAAGTTCATCAAATCTGTACCACAAAATGAGCAAGCTCAGTAGACGTACTAAAGCTAAAGTCTGCTATCCCTGTAACAGGCTGAGAAGGCCTATAGGGTTTTGAGACGTCGAGGCTCCCACATTTTCTCTCGACAGTCGGCTCACAGATGATGAAGTTGTCAGCCTTAAGCACCGGCCGCCCTTTACCCCTCAGGAAGATTCCTGGTTTGTAGCATAGTGCCTCCGCCAACAACGCTATCACGCGCCTCAGTAGATGTACTAAACAACGCTAAAGCTACCAGCATGCAGTAGGGGATATGGCTTTAACACTATCTCTTGTGTTCCAGACGAATGCGTCTTGAAACTTACTTCAGTCGTAAAGAATTAATGGCACCTGCTGATTACAGTTAAATATGGCCCTCTTTTTGTCTGGTGCACTAACATTTAAAATTTATAACCATGCTTTGAGCTATTAAGCCAGCTTAGCTTGAGATATACTTGAGGTTAACACGAATGTGTTGTAAACAGAAAATGATATAACGAGTAAAATGTTCTTGATTCTCAGACTAAATTCCTCTGCATATATTCACAAATATTTTCAGTGCAAAAGTTTTAAACGCACAGAGGTGTCAGTTAACTTGAAAAATACACTATAAGACCATGTTATGCTTCTTAGCTGAGTCCTCGTTACTCGGAATTGTGAACCGTCGGATTTAGTTGGTTTTCGAGATATGAACAGTAACTAAGCACAACTGAATAAGCAGTCACGAACAGCTGATAAGGGGTGATATTCCATCTTGAGTTCTGTATGCGAGGCTAAAAACTTCTCACCGTGAAAACCCCTGGCCTCATGAAATATTACACAAAATATCGAAATTGGTGAGCTCTTATACAGACGGTACTGAAACTTCGAGTTCTACATTAAATTTTGTATTTCCTGACTAGCTTCTCAAGGAGACCTGTGCGACATGGAATTAGTTAATTATATTTTATACAAAAATAATATCAAACTTGGCCTTAGTCAGAATTTTGCTAAACCTACATCACATAAAGTGCGAGGAGGAAGAGTGTGACTATGATCACTCTCTGAAACATACGCTGTACTCTGGACGTCGGCACGAAAAAAATAAACGTTTCCTTTTCTTCTCCTTGTGTGGTCCTACAACGCTCATGCTTATGCTGGAAACTGAACGGCTTGCAGAGGGTAAGACTGCCGATCACAGTGGTCTCGCGCTCTATGGCATGAACTGTCTTCCTTCGCTCGAACACTGGGATCGTGTGTTAGAATCCCACTCAAGTCAGGAATGTCTGTGTGCTTTATTCTGTGTTTGTGTTGTTGTGTTTGTATGTAGCGGCCTTGTGACGGGCTCATCCCCCGTCCAAGGAGTCTTACCAACTGTGTATTAAATTAAAAACTAAAAATGTGGTCAAGGTCCAACAAAGGACTGTAGAGCCATAGATAGATACACGTAGATTTACTAAGGTCAAAGTCAAATTTTGTCTCAGAACTTAAAACTAGAAAGAAAAGACTTTTTAGCTTATAATGTTGATGACTGTGTGTAATGCTCCTTTTCGTAGCCCAACAATTGTCTTATTCAAATGGCCCGTACTAGACAAAGTACAATTTTACCAAGAGACAAACACTTGCCTCAATCATTTGTGAAGGGTGAACCTTCCTTTGTTCTCTTGGTGAGCTGCTGAAACAATGGACTAGTCCTACTTAGTAAAATACTGACTTTGTGTCCTGGCGCCATGTGGTTGTGTCGTTTGGCTGTAAATCCCTAAAAACCATATTTCATTCAACATCCATCCAATGTGTGACGTTCACACAGTTGTAAGAGTGTTTCTATAAAATGAAACACTTGAAGAATTATAGTGACTTCCACATGAAGAGTGCAGTTGTTGTGAGTGATGAAGTATGCATATGATGACATAAGATATTTGCTAGTGTAAAAATAAGCTTCAATATTTGATGTAAATTTAAAAAGTTCCTAAATTGATAAGTTAATAACTTTTATTCTTCTACAAAGATAGCATGGGTCTTTAATATACACTATTTCGTGTGTTCTAATCTGTGTAGTTTTACGAATCTTTATTTGTT